ATACCACCCCATATCCACACCCAAGCAAGCTTGCTTACAGCCAGGCAAGGCTTTGCTCCCCAAAGACTGAGGCCTCAGAGGTGGCTAAACCAGCAGGTGGAAGGTGTGGCAGAGGGCAGGCAAGGTCCCTAAAGGGCATAGGTCCTGCCTGGCTGGGCAAGGGCTGGGGGAGGAGCCCTCCCCAAAGCTTATCGTCACAGTTCCCTGCGCACCTCAACGCACCTTGCTACAAATACACTCATTAGCTGCTGTTTACAGCGGGCACGGCGCTCCGATGAGCGCTGCTATTACTGCGGGCCAGCTGCCGCCCGCACACACGTAGGTACACACAGACACCGCTTCTCCCCCGCCCCGCCCTGGAGCCCCATCCGTGCAGTCACGTGAACATAGCAACCCCGAAAACATCTCAACCCACCATGTAAGTCAGGTCCCGCCAGGCCCCGCAAGGGACAAGACGAGCCTCCAGGCAGAGGCCACGTGGAACAGGCTGACGTCCCAGCCCACCTTCCCACCAACTGATCTAGAATGCAGGCATAGGCTCTGGGCGCCATCCAGCCCCTTCCACAGGTCCCGTTGCTGTCTGCCAACTCTGTTCCAACCCTTGGGGAATTGTGCTGGGTGAGACAAAGTCCTGTACCTCCAGATACTAATTGGCCAGGGTCCAGAAGGTCTGCCCTCACTGCCTGGAAGGTCAGGGACCTCCATGTCCATGGAACTGGCACAATTTGCTTGGCACCACTGGCTGTGGTTCCCTGGCAAGGCAGGAGGGTACCCAGGCAGGGCCTGGCACAGGCTAGCTCCGGCACCTGGCCAGACCAGTGACTGCCCTGACAGAGAAAGCTGACCTCACTGGCCACGCGTGCCACCTGCCGGGCACTGCCCATGGAGCAGGGGGCTGGCTTCAAGCAAGGCCGCCTGTGCCCACCTGGGATGCTTTAGTGTTTCTCAGGGGGCCACAAGGCTGACTCTTCCTCTGGCCTGGGCCTCCTGGCCCCCATGTGGCCCCCCTCACCCACATCTCTCCTGCTGTTCTCTGCCTCATTCTCCTGGGGGAAGTGGTTATTGAAAAGAAAAAAAAAAACAGTCCATCAGATTCAATAAGGATTCAAAGTCCCTGTGAGAATAGGGGGTGGGTGGGGAGTGGGGATGGGGGAATGTAGGGAGGGGAGGGAGCCACACATGCCTCCTCTGCCCTTCCCACAGACAAGCTATACCACAAGGGCTGGCAGGCAGACATGCACTGTGCTGTTCAGAGTCCCTGAGGCCTGAGCTTGGGGACAGCCAGGGCTAGAACCCAGCTGCCCCAAGGTGGGTCTTTCGCTTACTTACTCCTACCTTACAGCTGTCTCTTCACCTGTCCCCAGCTGGCTCACCACCCTCCTACCGTCGGCTTTGGCTCACCATCAAAAGAGAACCTTCGGGGACCATCTTCATCCCTCCACGGCCCCTCCCTCGGGACCATCTTGCAGTCCTTGGGCACCCAGCTGACTGGTCAGGCTGTCCCCCAAAGCTACAGAGCAGCATGAATCAGGGCCAAGAAAGAGCCAATCTCACATCAACTTGATAGGTTGTGGGTACTGGCAATTGGTCCATACCCTGAAGGGCACCATCTCCCACTCTGATGTGAAGTCCGCTCCCTCCCAGGCTCTCTCCCTGCCATACCTGTTGGGAAGCTAATGAATCTTCAGCCTCAGCCTCTGCCCTAAGCCTAGGATACAGGCAGCAGGGTACTTGGAGGAGGAAGGGCAGGCCAGAGGAGGAAGGTCCAGAGGCAGTTGTCAGGGAAATGATGGAATGTTCAGCACTGCTTCCCCCACCCTTGGTCCTCCCCCCATCTCCATCCTCGGGCTTTAATCCTCCCAAGATACCCTTAATCTGCCCATACCTCTAACTCCTGCTTCACACACACACACACACCCTCCCTCATTGACCTCGACCCCTAACTTGTACCCAGAAAGTGCAGGGTCAGATTTGGTTCCTCTGCCCACCATGCCAACGCCTCTTCCCTCCACTCAGTTCATGTCTGTCCCTCATACCCTAAGGCATGACCTGCCAGAGTGTGTAAGAGACAGCCCACTAACAGGTGGGACAGACTTAAGGTTTGGAGCACTACTGCTCAGCTCCCAGAGGGCTTGGGGGCTGGCAGGCCGTCCTTAGGGCCTGACCCCTCTCTCAGCCGGTCCCTCTCTGGCCTTGCTCACTAGCTCACCACAAGGTCACCTCTCCCTCCCTCCTCCTCCGGCTGTCCTGCCTGTCCTGCCTGCCCACTGCAACGCTGACCCCTGCAGGCGTGCTGAAGTCCTGCCCGGCCAGGGAAGGTGGGGGGGGGGGGGGGCGGGGAGAGGAGCAAGCACTCCAGGGAGAGAGGCTGGGCTGGCCAGCTTCAGGGGGAGCAGAAGGCTAGGCCAGGGCAGGCTGAGCAGTGTGCAGAGCGGTGCCGCTCAGGCCTGCATGGGAACGAAGACATCTGTGGTCTCATTCATGCTGGACTCCCGTTTTTCTTTCACCGTCCCTTTCTTTTACACAGGAGTAAAATGTACCAAGTGTGTGTGTTGGGGGCGGGGGGAGAACTCCAGTCAGGTAAGGTCTTACCTCTCAGCTGTCCCCCCCCCCCCCCAGTAGGGACCTGCAGAGTGAGTGGGTGAAGAGCCAGAGTACCCACAGGGATCTTCTAAGGGAGGGAGCAGGAGAGCACAGGAGATTTTTTTTTTTTAGAAGCAGAATTGGGCCGCAGGTGTTGGGGGGGGGGGGGAGGAATGAGGAGATTAGGATGTAAGAGGTACTTACTGGTTCCTGGGGGACCAAAGGGGAGAGAAGAGGGGTTGGCCTGAGTCACACAGGAATTAATTTGCATATCTCCCTCCTACCTGGTGCCAGGCAAAGGGTGGGCAGGAATGGGGCGGGACACAGAGTCCTGGCTGGGGAGTAGCAGAGTCAGGAAGACCTGGGGTGAGCTGCAGGGAGGCATCTCTGGATCTGGGGGCACCAGGGACCATGGAGGCCAGACCCTCTGCGAACCCTGGAGGACTTGGAGCTAAAGAGGCTCTCCAGCAAGGCTAGCACCCATATCAGAGAGAAGCAAACCTCAGGCTAGCCCTCTTCGTAGTCAGAGCTATCCCTGGCGCAGGCTTGGGGGGAGAGGGGAGAGGGGAGGGCTGCAAGGGGCAATACAGCTCCTGTTCAGAGGAGATGAGGATAGGAAAAGGTTCAGGAGTCTTGAGTCTGCCAGGAGCAGCACTGGACTCCAGACTCTTTGCCCAGAAGGTGCCAAGCACATCAAATTGGCCTCTCTGAAGAGGGGCAGAGGCGTTTGGAGGGGTAGTGATGTCATGATGCTCAAACATAGGAGAAAATGAGGAGGGAGAGAAAGGGGATGTAGGCCTGGGTCTAGAGGCTGGTGGCCTAAGAGGAAAGGAGTAGGGAACCACCAGTCTGGTAAGAGAAGGGGAGGAGAGTGTCCCTCCCCTCCAGCTGGTCTCTGAACTAAGCTATGGGCTTCTGAGAGTGAACCAAGGGACACAATGGTCCTGTCCTTAGTCCTAGTATGGGAACCTTGCTCCTCTAAGAGAAAATGCCCGGGTAGGTGAGCTGGGGCTTGACAGATGAGAGGAGGGCTTCCACCAATTCAATGTCCCTTCAGCCCTCACCTAGAGGACATTCACAGCAGGACATAAGGCTCCAGGGAAGCAGACTTGAGTGGCCCTCACCCCCTTAACCCTGATGATGAGTGAGCATCATGCCTGGTGCCCAGTAGGTGGTCCTCATGGCTCTGGGCTGAAGTGAATGGGTGGAGGTGACATCGGATCCTGCAGGAGGCAGGGGTGGGCAGAGGTTGCCCCCTAAAGGGAAAGAGCAAGTGTGGGTGGGCTGGGGCAAGAAGGGGCAGAGCCAGATGCCACGATCCTTGTAGCTCTAAGGCCTTTCTGGGGAGGGCCTTAGAAGGGTGCACTCCCCCAACACCTGTACCCCCGAGGGAGCTGATGTGTCAGAGCCCGGCGATTCTTCTGTTGGGAGTAGGTCCTAGGCTAGATCTAGGCTCTCAGCTTTGAAGACAACCCGGAAAGGGAGCCCCTGATGGCAGATCTGGTGGACGGGGGAGATGAGATCGTCTCAGGTTGAAGCTGGGACTAAGCCTGAGCTGGAGCTGCAGGGGACCTGCCTACAGGTGGGCATTGCGTGAGAGGAGGCGTCAGAAGCCAAGGAGGAAATGGCAGGGCAATTTCCCCTAGGAAGGAGGAAGAGATTCCTGGCTTGAGCTTGGAAGACGCTGAGCAGACAGACCGTGGGCTCCCCGGCCACTCCCTTCGAGGAGCAATGCAAAGGGGTGCGGCCCCTCCCCCTCCCTCCCCGCACTGAATGAGTTTGGGGCTCTTTGCTTCCCCCCCTCCCCAGTCCTAGGTGCACATTCCCCCAGCACCCCCATTGTCATCTTCCCTACCCAGCCTCCCCCCCTCTCACCCCCAGCTCCCGCAGTCCCCCGCGCCCAGAAGCCTCCCTGCCCGGCCGCTGCACCACATTCCCACTTGCCCCCATATACAGTTGGCACCGCCGATGCCTCTCGGCTCCCCTGCGCTCACGATCCCGGGCCCCACGCTGTAAGGATCGTGGTCCCGGGGTCCCTCCGCGCCGGCACCCCCGGGCGGTGGCGCCGGGAGAGCGGGGGGTACCTCTGGGGGCACTGCCCGGCTCCCGCAGGGGCAGCGGCTCCGCGCTCCGCTACACACGTTGTCCTTGGGCTGCCGGGGGAGGGGGGGGGAGGAGATCCTTGTGGGGACACTGCGAGGCCGGCCCGGGCATCCAGCCTGGCACTGTCCAGACGGCGGGATCTGGGTTCGAGCTGGCGCCCGCGGTGCTGGGATGACCCCCGGGGGGAGGGGGCGAGTCCGTGCGCTCCAGCCAACAGCAAAGCCCCAGGGCTGGGGCTCCGAGACCGCTCCCGGCTCTGCCTCCGTCCGGCCCGCCGGTGCGGGGCGCCCCAGCCCGCGCGGGGCCGCGCTTACCTGGGCTGGCCGCCTCCGGGTCCCGGTACATGGTCCCCCCTCGTCGCCGGCTCCCTCCGGGCTCCTCAGAGCCGCCCGCGGCCGCACCTTGCTCCGCCGCCGCTGCCGCTGCAGGGCATGGGGCCGGGCGACCCCCGGAGGCGGGTCCGAGGGCGGGGGCCGCGCGGGGCTGCACCGAGCCGCCGAGCCGGGGAGCGGGGGCCGCCCGCCAGCCCTCCCGCCCGCCCGCCGAGCCTCCTCCCTCCGGCCTGCGCGCCGCGTGTGCGCGCCGGAGCGTGTGTGAGTGTGTACGAGGCGGGGTGCGTGCGTGCGTGTGTGTGTGTGCGTGTGTGTGTGTGTGTGTGTGGTGTGTGTGGTGTGTGCGCGCCCGGGGCACCGCCGGCGCCGCCCGCCCGCCGCCGCCGCCGAGCACCGCTGCCACCGCCTGCGCCCGCGGCCGCCCGCTGCCGGCCGAGCGCGGCACTGCAGCCCGCGCCGCCGGCCCGCCCGCCCGCCGGCCCAGCCGCCGCCGCCCCGAGCCGCCCCGAGGGCACGGCCGCCGCCCCGCGCGCCCGGCCCGCTGCCGGATCCGCGCGCCGCGGTGCTTGGAATCTGCGGGCCCCGCCGCACTGCGCGACCAACCCGACCCGTGCTGCCCAGATGGCAGCGGCCTCGCACCGCGCTGGGCCACCGGGTAGCCGGCCACCTCCTCCGAGGTGTCCTTTGACTCCATTCCGAAAGGCGGAGCGATCCACGCCGGGTTTTTCGCGGGCGGCCGCTCGAGGGCGTCAGCTCCGGACTTGACACCGCAGGGTCCTTGGAAGACAGGCTGGTGTGAGCAAAAACCAGGAGTGGATTTTTTCCTTTTTGCTAGCGCTGGGCCTGGGTCGGCCACGGCTCCCATTCCCAGCTGGAGCGGACTGGGCTAGAATCCCTGTCCTCAGTGCGGCGCTGGGTCTGATGACCCTTCTCTCTTACTCCTGCAGGCCTTTTAGCCTCTCCCGAAGCGGGCCCTCCCCTCTTTCTCTTGAGCCAGCACCTCCGTAGCAGGAACCAAATTCCCCCTTCCCTGCCCACCCTGACGTTCTCCCGGCTGAGTCTGGTTTAGCGGAGTCCCTGATCAGGGGAACCCATTTCTTTTCTCTGCAGCATGCAAACTGTTTGATTCCGCCAGTGAGGCGATCTCCCGATCTCCCAAGGACTTCAAAGGTGGCATCAGGCAGAGATCTGCCAGTATCCCCCATACACACCTAGCACACAACAGACACAGACCAAGACACTTCCCACAGTGCAGGTCTGCCGCTGCCCCCCCCCCTCCCCGCAAGAGGGGTAGGCAAGAGGGCAAAAGGCCCGGGTCTGCAGAAGCATCCTGTCCTCCCCTCTGCTGAAAATCCAGATCCCAGGTGAGTCCGGCTTCCCAGACTCAAGAATTAGTATTCCCACCCCAGAAATCTACTGTATGGGCTCATGATCAGCCCACCTTCACCTTTATGAAGAACAGCAGACAGCACCTTCTCACAGGGTTAAGCCTCTGTCCCAAGTCTCCCCCCACCCCCCAACACACACACACACACACACACACACACAAACACCATCCCCTAGAACTCACATGGAACCACTTCCCACCCCCTGTACATTCACCTCCACCCACAGCTTTTCCTGTTGAGAAACAGATAAGGAAATTCCCCCCCCCCCCCAACCTTCTTTAAAACTGTTCCGGTGGAGAACAGATTTCCTGAGATTGAATATTCTAATTAAAAATGGAAGGGGGGGGGGGGAGAAAAAAAGAAAGAAAGAAAAAGCATCTGTAGGTGAAGGCCTGCAATTTTCCTGTGGCCAGAATCTCAGCCCTTACCCAGTATGGTGAAGGGCCATTATTCTGTTCCAGACCTCTGCAGCAATCCACAGTCTCTCCCCGCACCCCACCCCCCTTTTTTAAATCCCAGGTCTAGGGTACCAACACAGCACCCTTTAGGGCCTGACAAACTCCAGAAAGCCAAGCCAATAGATTGGAATTCTAGGGTCTTGTGCCTTTGCTTCTTTTCCCTCCCACCTCCAGCTGTCTCTCATTGCCTTGTAAAGAGTAAATAGTGCGCCCTTCTGGCACCTCCCTCCACCCCAGCCATCAATGGGCACACAGAAAGATTTCTTGTTCAGGAATCTTTCCACCCCCAGAGCCTCACTGCCCGCCCCTCCTCCCCGCCATCAACCTGAGAGGAGAGGGACAGCAGAACTTCCTGTTGCAGCTCAACAGGTCTTAACTGGGCATCTGGGATCACCCAGTTTCTCAGAGTTGATGGAGAGGCCATTTGAGAGATGACTCAGGCTGCCTCCTCCCATAACAGATGGTAAAGGCAAGGCCTCTAGAGAAGGAAGACTCAAGTTGCTAAAGCCTCCAGTGCTTCACAGCCCAGGGAGCTATTGAGAGCCCAAGAGAAACCCTTTGTCCTGAGACCTAGCCTTTGGCCAACCGCTGTGAGATGGAAGAGAAGGATGACACCTGCTCCCACTGCCAAGAGCTTAAGGCCTGACCCTTACAAACAATAAAAATCTCAGCCTCATGCACTCCCAGCAGGCATTAGACAACCATTGTACCAGAATGTCAGAGATGGAAAGTCCGCAGCCATGCCAGATACGAACCCCCAAAACAGCATTGGGTAAACCAAGAAGGCATTGGAAATCTTGGGTGGTTTTCTCTGTCTTGCCAGCTTCAAGAAGGACTTTAAAGATACCTTTGGTCTGGATCTCAGTCACTTTGTTGAGCAAGTTCAGAGGCTTTTGAAAGAGGCAGAAATAGAGATTTATGTAGCTCTGCCGTTACGGCTATGATTAACATGGGCAGACAGACATCTGGGCCTGTTTCCTCATTCCATACAAAGGGAATAAAAAGACTTATTCCTTTGATGAGTATAAGATTCAATGTGATGATACAGTAAAAGCACTTAAAATGATACTTGGAGCATATGACTGATTCTTGGTAGATACTGAGTGCCAATGATGATTTTTATTTGTTTATCCTTAACAGGGACACCACATACTCCCTATTTTATGTTTTTCCTGTCAAGGAAGTTCTTTCAGATGTCTAGCTTCAAATCATTCGACTGCATTTGAAGGCTCACTCTCTCCTGCTGGCATGTCAGATAGCCAAACCTTCTAAGGACTCGTGGACTGGGCAGAAAAGGCAGGAAAGAGTCTATGGGAGACCACGGTTCCTGGGAGATAGGAGATGGGAGGCTGTGAATCACCCCTGCCTGGCCTTGGGCTTTGCATCTCTTAGGAGAGGGCCTGGGTCTCTGATGCTAGCTCTGTTTCTCCTTTCTGGCACCCAGGGGGGAACAGGGTGCTGCCCAGAGAAGCCCTGTCATTCCATGACGCTGCTGGCCCCTGTGTCCTGGGTTCCATGATGTAGCAGGAAACACTGGCAGCACCTGGTTCCCGAGGGACTTCCACACAGCATGCTGTGGACCCCTCAGGCCTGTTTCCCATCTGGCACAGTCATCGGGGCCAGGTGTCCTGGGTCGGTGGCTTCAGGGAGGGACTGGAACCAGGGAGGGACATCTTGTCCCCTGAGAATAGATGCCTGGCCTCTACTCTCCCAAACAAGGCCCCCGGAGGCTGCCTGGCTGTGTTGCTAGGCCACAGCTATGAGGCAAGGTCCCTGGGTTCCAGACGGCCTCTAAACTGGCCTGGTCTCTCTCCCTCCAGTTCCTGTCCCCTTGTCCCCGCCTCCTCCCCCCCCCCCCCCCCCCCCCGCTACAGGATGAATTATTAATAAAAATGCTGAGAAAGCCGTTTGTGAAGCTCACGTGACAGAACAAACACACCTCTCTCCTTTCCATGTAGCAAGAGATTCAGATGGGAGTGTTGGCCTGCTTCAGGAGGGAAAGGCTGTGACAAATGGGAGGGGCCAAGGTCATGGGCATGCTAATGTGCCAGATCTCCAGCAAGGACTTGTCCTGCATGTGCTGCATGGTGGGTCCCTTCTTCCTCTGCAAAGATGGAGACTCTGGAGAGGGTAAAAGCATAGAACTAGCAAATACCATCGCCCTCCTCCCCCAGAAGGGACAGGACAGTCAAGTCCTAGAAGGCAGTTTCAACCATCTCCTTCCTACCTCATCGTAGTAGAGACAGAATCAATACTTACTGATTAATTACCTCCCTTCTCCAGACCCAGGAGCCAGGGTATCTCATGTCCTACCTGGGGCCTAGACTACTTGGGCTGGGCTCTGCTGAGGAGGCCTGGTCCTGAAGAAGCAGAGACTGGCATTCTGAGTTCAGTACCAGAACATTAGGCTTGAACTCTGGCCCTGCCTCTCCCTGTGTCTCTAGCTTGTTCGGCTTTGGCTATCGAGTTGACCTCTCTGAGCCTCAGTTTTCTCATCCATGGAATAGGGCTAATAATTACACTATCTAGAGATATCAAATATATATTCGGAAGCCAGGTGCCAGGGGCTCACACCTCTAATCCTAGCTACTCAGGAGGCAGAGATCTAAGGAGTGTGCCCTGAAGCCTGCCTGGGCAGGAAAGTCCATAAGAGACTCTTAACTCCAATGATCCAGCAAACAACCAGAAGGAGAGCTGTGGTTCAAGGAGGAAAGAGGTAGCCTTGAGTGAAAAAGCTAAAGACACTGCCCAAGCCCCAGTACTGGCATACCACCAACAAATTAGATAGACAGACAGACAGACAGATAACAAATTATATATTCAGGGTTGGGTATCTTTCCTGGCTCCTTAGGGATGACTCCAGACACTAAGGCCCCTGCCCAGACTGACTTTCCCTCGTCCCAGGCCCTTATCAGATCCTGAAACCTTCTCTTGCTCCAAACCCACCTTCATTCCACCCATCTTCCCATCTCGTTTCTCCCTCTACCTTCCTCCCTTCCTAATTCTGTCCAAGTTGCTCTCTCCACCGTGGTCATCTGACACCCACATGTGCTTGGCTCAGGGCCTCCTAACACCTCACTGTCTCCTAAAGATGAAAGTGGCGATTCCTTCTCCCAGCCATCCCTACTTTGGGACAGTGGCAGTCTCCTTTGAAAGCTTGACTTTAGACCTTTGTTCCAGGACCACAGGCTTAGCTATTCCAACCAG